CACACACACACACACACTGAAAATAGGAACACCAACTAAAATAAACAAATCCTCATTCTGGAACTAGAGCTCATATATTCTCTCTCCCCACCCACCCTTCTTTCTCTCTGTACAGATTCAGCTCTTGATGTCTCTCTCAAAAGTATGTGAATATCCATGTGGGCATGTGAGTGTATGTGTGTGTGTGTGAGAGAGAGAGAGAGATTGGAACATAATACAAGATCCTTTATTTTAGGTGGTGGACAGTATACAGTAGCTATATTCATCATGAGTTAGAAAGAAGTCATTATCCATACCAGCTGTCCCTGAATACAGTACTGTATAGGATTGTAGATTACCATCAGTACAATTTGTGCTAATCCTAACTGGGTACTACTTCAAACCCAGCCTCCGAAATCAGGATTATATTGCACTGGCCATTGCCAATATTTTACCCTTAATACCAGCTAACAAGAGATCTGCACCAGACCTCTGGGTAAAATAACTAACTGAGCAGCTGAACTGAACCTAGAAAGAATCTCAAATAGCCCATCAATGTGCTATTTTATAGGTAACATTAACAGGGTCATGATTAGTCATTTCCTGCGAATGATTAAAGAACCAAATTCTTTCAGAATGAAAGATCTGTTCTGGTTGAGCATTGTGCCATTTCTTTCAAAATTATTCTCAACAGCACAAGTGCCCAGTGAAGGTCACTGATATATCACAAATCACTTTATTTCAACCTAGAGGGAAAAAATAATTACAACTGCAAAAACGATATGAGACACATTTTAGATATAACACCCAATTATCCATTTCATTTTCATTTATGCAAGCGGGGTGCGATCATTTATCATATTTCATGAGAATGTCCAGGATGTGCACACAGACAATTTTGAGAGGTAACAAATTTCTCACCATATTAACATAAGCTTACAAGATTCCATCAACAAGTACTGGGCATAAATATGAGATAATTACATTTACAATGAGCAGAAATGTTTGAGATGCAAAAATGATGGTTTCATAATTGAACATCCCGGTTTGCTTTCTTAAGTACAGTCATTCAGATCCAGCAATCAAGAATTACTGTGCTGTTGGAACACCAGCCAGTTGTCACTGTGTGGCTCTGAATCTGGAGATGAATCTTTTATCATCAAGTCTTATTGCTTCTTGCCACCAAGTCATCCATCATGTTTCTGAGACAGCTTGGAATAATAGTGCTGGACCCTCACATTACTGCTCCTTGAACTCCATCTCATCCATCTTTTGCATCATGCCTGATTTGCAGCAAAGTATCATCTCCCTGCTGCAAAACCAGGTGTGAACCCAATCATGCCTCTAACCTAGAGTGCCACTCTAATAGTAATTGATTTTTTTTAGTGCTATACTCAGAACTTGGAAATCCCATCTATGGGAATTCAGAAAGGGAGATGATAGAAAATGCAATTGCTTCAGAGAATTCAGATCTATTTATTTATCTGCCTCTCTTAAACCTTCTTTAAATATAAATGTTACTGGTGTCTATTTTGGATTGGTCCCAGATATGCCCACACATGAAAAACTGCAAACATACTGTTTGCATAGGCACACCGTATTATTCTAGAGACTCTTCAAATTGTTACTAATTGAACAGAATACCTTTAGATATTTAAATTAATATATTTAATGTGTACTCACCCTGTGCACCAAAAAGTGGAACTTATTATTAACCCCCAGTTCATCATTCAAATAAAGTCTGTTTCAAAATCCCAACAGACAATAAACCATCCAAGATTAAGTATAATAATTCAGTTTCATCTGAATACAGCTATATAGTTTAATAAATCAAAATGATCAAAATGTCCCAGTGGCAGATTGGGATTCTGTTTCCAATTCAAATTCTCTTTAATATATGTCTTCACTGACATCTTGCATTTTCTCTCATCTAGGCTGAATTCCAAATGGGTTCCTTTTTTGCTGTTACCAAGCACTGGGCAACCAATGGAGTCATCCAATCACTTCTCAGCAACCCCGCACAACCCTTGAGAGATGTCAGACTTGCTAGAGTTTTCTTTTGTATTCATCAATGAATGGCAGATAAGAATAAAATATTATGAAAACCTCCCTATAGTACTGATTAGAACAGAATACTCTGATTCTATATTTCTACTCAAGGATTTCTTTTTATACAATATTAACAATAGAAAAGCGTTTGAAGGGCTAATAAGAACCGCATCCCATTTTGAGATAAAACCAGGGTATAATTCTGTTTTAAAACATCTATAAACATAGCTTATTTTCTTCTCCAATACATACAACCTGAGCAGAGTATTAATACAGCCAGTATGCCGTTTTAGCTAGAAAAGATCCTTCTTGTGAAAACTTTCAATTAGGACATCTCTATTTTAGATTTTAAAATAACATCTAGGATGATGAACCAACAAATATGTCTGGCATTGGGTCCTTGAGGATGACAAATTTCTTTCTGCAGTTAATTAGATGTGCACAGATATCAGAATCCAAACTGTAACTCTAGAAAAGACAAGAATCTAAGCCTGAATGAATTCTTGATTCAGTGAGAATTATTAAAGTAACCTCTCCATTTGGGGATTATTTCTGTGACCAATACAACAAGACAGAACTGAGCAACTGTAGTGGTAGAAATAGTTTTTATTATTAATATCTGTCTCAGATGTTTTCCCCATTGCTGTTAATCATTACTAGTATCTCTGCTGCTATCACAGAGCATTTGGAAGAAGAAGACAATCCATCTTTTGATTAATTTAGAAATGAGTTTACTCTGATACATTGTGAATATTAAAACAGAGAAAGTAGACCCAGGCTCATAGATCTAAGTCACATATACATGATTGTTTCTATCATTAATCTGATACTTGATTAAAAGATGACAGTGACAGATAAGGAGCAAGGTAACTTAAGTAGAAGTAAACAAATAAAACACATTCAATTTTATATTTTTCCTTTTCACAAACTTACTAAATGTCAATAATTTGACTATGCATATCATATTTGATGTTTTCTTCACAAAACGTTAGAATTGATAGAAATAACATTGCAACACTGCCTCTACTCTTCATCATTTCCATGCTGTTCCAAAACATCAGCATCTGTTCCTCAAAGCTGTAGGATTTATTTTAAAATATACACCATTTTTGGTTTAAAAATTAGTCTTACAAAAACAGTGCTTAAAAATGCAAGATATAATATAAAAATATTAAGGGAAATAAAAATAATTAAATATGTAAAGAAATATTAGGAGATCTTTTCAATTATATTTTTATTAATTAAGAAGAAAAATTCTCTCGAGGAAAAGATGGTGTCTGACACCTGTTCATATCAATGCTCAAGAATTTAATCCATAATTTGTAAACACTGCTTTACTGACAAGGTACATTTTTAGAAAACCTATCAGAGAGAGCTGGCATGGGTAGTGATTAAGGGCTTGGACTAGGAATGGAGAGGCCCAGATTCTAAGCCGCCTATCCTACTTCACAGGGTTACTGTTGTAGAGAGGAAATTAACGGAGATCCTCTTGTAAGCTCCCTTGAGCTCCAGGAGGTACACAGCAGGACATTAAATAAATAAATAAATAAATAAATAAATAAATAAATAAATACTCAAGTGTGAAGATGCAACTTCGTATAGCATTTAGCAACTTCCCTGAGAAATAAAAAGAACATAATTTAATCTGTACTGTTGTACATGAAACTAAGGTTTGGGTTTTATTCCATTTTCTGGTGGACTTTACCTCTTAGAGCTACTGCCTCTGAAATGGACAACACTGAGTAATATCAGTGTAAGTTAGCCACCCCTGTTATGTTTTCTGACATTTATGATTTCTAAATTATAAACGTAAAAATATACACAGTAAATTCTCTTTTAATGATATATTTTTATTCTAACATTCTACCCTGATTATTTTCTATCTTCCTGCTGGCTTATCAATATTAGGTATTAAACCTCATCTCTTGAACATATACACCTTGCAATAAACCAGAGCCAATTTTAATCTAGTTTGTCAACAGCTGTTCTTATTCATCTCACATTCATTAAAAACTAGTAGTGTCAAGATTTGTCTTCTACGAGTTGAAGATAGTCTCATTAGTCAAAATGATATAGAAGCAATACTCAAGACATGACAAAATAAATTGTATTTCATCATATCATGTTTTTCTTCCTGCAGTGGAGGGATCACATAGATCAAGATTCGTTGGTATGAAGACCCAGCACTGAAATTTTAGTTTCTTCCAAATAGCAACAGAAAGTCCTTAAGCATGCCCTGTCACTTTGGGTTTAGAAAGGAATGCATTAATAAACTCCTACCCCAGGTCATTTTTGACTATGGGCAACACTATGCCAGCTTTTATTAAAGGCAATTCATATCACTGGCCCAAAAATTTCCTTTAAAATTACCATCTTTTGTGTCCATGGAATAGGACATCGGCTTTAAAGTGCCATTAGGATATAGGTCCTGTCACTGTACTTAATTTTCAGCACAGTTTTAACACCGGGATAGCTTTTTCCCCAGGGTATGTTTTTGACTAATGAGGCTTGTTTGATGGTTAACGAAACAAAGAAGAAGAAAACATAGTTACTGGGTACTGCTTTTGAAATAATATAGTAAGCACAGAACTCTACATATTCTAGCTATGAACTCATAGATTTTAGATACAGAATTTTAAAAATAGGGTACATTTATAATAGTATGACGTGCTAGTTAAGGTGTTGGACTGGCACCAAACCAGTTAAGGCTGAGGTGCACCTTTGCCACAGAAGCTCACTGGTTGCCTTTCAGCCAGCCACTCTGTCTCAGCCCAACCGATTTTGTAGGGTTTGTTGTGGTAAAAAATGGGAGGAGCTGCTTTGAGCTTCTGAAGGAAAAGTAGGATATAAATCAATCAATCAAACAAACAAAAAACAAATTAATTAATAATGATAATATGTAAAGGGCCCATGTCTGAGAAATTTGAGAGAAACCCTTACCTCGAACAATAAGCTGGGCAAAGTTGGAAACTCCAGATCCTCTCTCAGACTGAGTAACACAACGATATAAATCCTGATCCGTTTTTGTTACTTCCTGAAGCTTAAAGGTAGCAGCAAAACGTCTGTGATTGATGTTTTTTGTTTGGGCCACTGGAATATCTTCTCCATTGCGCCTCTGAAAATAATAAAACCCTATGTTAAAAAGGATGGATGATGTGAACATCATGTATCTAATCAGCACAGTTTAAAAAAAAAATTATTGTATAGCTAATTCCATTCATCAAAATATAGCTTCACAACTTTTTAAAAAATACATCATGAGCTTGTATTCTGTTTATTTACCTATGTTATTTAAAATCTGTCTTTTCTGAGAAAGACTGGCAAGCATTAAACAGTGTATAAATAATTGCACTTTAATCACCTTCAATTCTGGATTGCTGAATGAATGAAAGTATTTTTTCAAGAGTAATGATTGCGGGTTTTTTTGTTTTTTGTTTTGCACATAACATCTCTCTCACCTGTTCAGAATTTGGGCAAACCAATCTCACAGTTGTTTTGTACACAATGTCACCCAGTAAGCCTAACATAGCAGAATTACTGTAGGAAAGAAAGATGGCCTGCTGCAGAATGGAAATTTGTCTTAATGCACTCTGAGCACAGCACCACGGTCAGAATACCAAAGAATCTCCTCTGAAAGGCCAGAGAATACTGCTGGAAGTGGTGGGGTTTTGAAACAGCAGTTTCTTATCACTTCTTTTATGTGGATCAGTACACTGTGTTTGATAGTTCTGAGGACCTCCAGTGTCATGCCTGGAGCATCATGGCATGTGCCCTTCTTGATAGCATCTATGCTACCCCCAAATTAAATGAAAATCTTTGGACTGGACAGTATTGAAGTTATTGTAACAATAAAAACAAAAACAAAACAAAATTAATTTAACAAAATTAAATCGTTTGAGTTCACCAAATCTCAAAAGATACCAGTGTTTCCTCCTGAAATCTCAAAAGATTGGGGCAATAATATCAAAAGCTTTTTTAAATATGTATATTTTTAATATATAAATATTTGAATTACCGTAATACAAACTAATACAAACTAAACTCAGAGACAGGAAGAAAAGTAAAAAGAGAGTAAAAAATGCAAAGAAACAAAAAGTGAAAAAGAAAAAGGAAAGAGTGAAATAAAGAAAAAGAAAAGAAATATATAAAGAAGTGACTACCAATCTTCACGACAAGTATAAACTCATTTGGTAGCTCTTCGCCCCCTATAAGGTTACAAATAGATATTTCATCTTCTCATAAACCTGTAAAGGTTTGCCAGAATTTCATAAAAATACGTCTCATTTTAACTTTAATCAAATAAACCAACTTTATATTCCTTCCTTTTACCTCTGAAAATCTTAATCTTTAATTCATTCAAATATTGTCATAGGATTTGATCTCTCTTTAATTCTTTGTCCCATTGCATAGGCTTCTTCGAGGTTTTAACAAGCCTCTTTTGTAAATCCAATAAAAAGATATTATCCAGGTCATTCTCTTGGTTTATCATTTGCATTTCCCCTTTAATTTTTTAAAACTTCAGCCAGCTTCTTTTGTATATCCAGTAAAGAGTCCTTATCCAGGTAATTCTCTTGGTCTGCCACTTGTATTTCTACTTTAAATACCTTTTCTATCTTTCAATCTACACTTTTTTTTTAATCCAGTATTTCTGATTCTACTATTTCTGCATCAAGCAAGATTTGATTCATATCTGTCATTCCTTCATTAACATCCTTTAAACATAGTCTGTCCACAGAGAGATGTCATTACTGGTACTGTCAATATTGTGGCTACTAATTTCTGGTTCCATTCTTTGAAGATCTCCTTTAATAATTCAAATGTTATAATGTTTTGTGTCATTTCGTAAATCCCAATCTAAGTCAAAGTCAAAGGCAGGGTCTTTTCCCCCCCTTTTTGCCTGGAATCTTTAGTCCCCTCTAGTGTCCAGTTTAAATCGTAAGGTCTCTAATCTCTGTTATAACTTACAGTAGACAAAATAATTCTAGTTTCCATGAAAAGCTGTTTATTTTATATAGTTAGTTCCAAAATCTTATGGTAAAAGTTTCAATATTCCAAATTTGTCTGGACCCTTCATTCATTTATATCTTTCTTAGTACAAAATCTTATTTAGCTTTTTGCCATTTATTTCAAATTCTTTAAATTCTTAAACTTATAGTTATTTTTTCTTTTGTTCAGAAATGAAGATAGACTCTTCAGGTGGCTTTTCAAGCTTGTCATTCCAAAGATTTCTAATAGCCTTAAGATATAAATATGCAATTTCCAAAAGTGATTAGAAGTGAGGTTAGTGAACTTAGGGTCCTTTAAAAACCTCCACTGGGGTTGTGAGCTTGATGATTGATCTCTTTGTCTCCCGGTACTCAGACCCATGGGGAACTGTTGTCCTGCTGTCTCCTTGTACGGAGTAGCTGTCCAGAGCACATGTAGGCAAGCTCTTGTCCTCTCCTTGTCTGGAGAGGTTCTGAAGAACTGATCTACTCACTGGTTCGTTGGTCTCTGCCATGGTCATCTCCGCTCTCCATGGAGATGTGTTTAGCTTGCCATGCCTCCACTGAAGTCCAATCGCAATAATATCAAAATCTTGCAAGATTTCCAGTGGGACTGCAGCAGACCATCTGATGACAAGGTGATATTTCAGACTGTCCCTTCATGGGTGCTTTTTTTTTGGAGAGGGGAATGCTATGGTTGAAAGTGTGTGTGTGGAGGGCCTCTGGAAGGCAAATGACTTCTATTTTCCCCTTTAACCCTACTTAAAACTCCCAAAATGTGATGAAATTGCACTACCATAATGCAACCATTTTGCTGTCAAACTTCAACAGTCTGCAGGTTGCCAAGTCTTGTCTTACCTAATAACACACATAATGGCTTATCGCTGCACTGTGAGTTTCCTTTATTCTTCACTGACAACTACTTCAATTGCAAGGCAACTTGGAAAGCAATGTTATCATGTCATAAAATTTTGTACTGTGAACAGAGAGAGGGAAATGAGGGATACTAATATTAGGGCCACTAGATATGTTACATTACGTACAGTTTGATGAAAACAGCAAGTTAGAATGAAGTAATTGTTAAAATATAGAGAAAGAAAATCCAATTGTAAGGACAATAAGGAGAGTGACTAAAGCATTACAACTAGTAACATAATGTTTTTATACACTGATAGATCCATAGTGAGAGAACACTGCAATGCAGCTTGCTGCAAGTATGAATGTATGTATACATTTGTGTGTGTATGTGTGTGTGTGTATATATGTTTGTATTTATATATAATAGATTTCCCATTTCTAGAAAGGAAAGGATGAGATAAGGCTTCCCTTTCATACCAGAAATCCTCCCAGGGATGCTACTTAAGTTCACCCATTTCCCACTACTAGTAGGAAACTAGAGATAAGTTTCCCATCAGCATGATTATTCAGCTGGCCAGACGAAAAGGAAGAAAAGCCCTTTGCACCATAGGGGGAATCATTGATAGAAAATGTTATTTATGGAGAAATATCAGAAACATTTTCTAAAGCAGAAGAGTCTGAGAAAATGAATACTTAACTAAAGAGTAACAAATTTTTGACTGTTCAGATAGACACAGTCTAAAATATTAACTACAAATATGTGGAATGTTACTCTCAGCTGCACAATTATCATGTCAAGATACTTATGAACATGGCGCAATATTAAACCTGCTTAAACTGTAGCTTAAAATACTAGCTTGGTACATGGTTTGATTGTTCATGCCAGGATAGAAAGAAGGTCCGTGTACAAGCCAAATGTTTGGTCTTATTTATAACTTTAAGTGTGACTGATTGATTGATGGGAGAATCCCATGTTATTAAACCAGATGCAATAATCTGAATGTGGCTAGTTGGTTTCCTGGAGAGCAACAGCTACCACAGTGGTTGATCAGCGGTAGAAAAACGGAATCATAACACTTTATACTTGACCAGTGATAAGTCCTGCAGCCTTGTAGTCAGTGAAGAATGGCTAGTAAATTTCCCTAAGCCATACTGCAAGAGTCAAATGTTAACAGCATTTAGGCATCCCCAGGGAGAATCTATATTGCTTATGTGACTTACAGAGGAGTTGCAAATGAAAGAGCCAGGGGAAATGATCGTATTTCTTCATGAAAGAGAAGCTCTCTTCTAAACTAAATGACAGAAATGGCTTCACAAGACAGAATACAGAGTGACAAGAAGAATTTAATCTACAAACTCACGTGCTTTAAACTGAACTTCTGGAAAAACCTCAAGTAAATTAAAATAAAGAATAAAACGGCAGCATTGGTGTCCAATGCTAATACAATATAGCACATGCAAGACATTGTTCTAATGTGAGTCAGTTTATAAAAAATATTGTATCTAACAATATAATTTTTTCTTTGTATGCTGAGCTTAAATCTCTTTTCTGTGTATATAATTGTTAGGCAATGAATGACTAGTTGTTTTTAATGTGTTTTCTTATATATGTATTTTTCAAGTTTTATTTTTATGTTATTAATATTATACCATGGACATTTTAATGTAGTGGATAGCCTTGGAAGCTGTGAAAAGGTTTTGATTGTGGCAAGCAAGAAATCCAATAAATGAATGAACAAACGAATGAATGAATGAATGAATGTTAAATTAACAGAACAAGAGAAGGTCTGCACCTCTGTGGGGAAATGCAGTTTTAAGTATACTTATATTGTTCAACAAGAACAGAAACTCACTTGCGCTTGTGCTGATACTTATTGCTTAGGATACTGTGCTTTTATATTTTTGTGTTTGTATTTGCTATGCTGTTTATTTATTTTCCTCAATTTCTGGTATAATATTTTCAGAAATTACTTTTTCTAAGCACCTTGGGTGCAATCACCTGTCTGACTGGTTAAATTCCACTATAATCAATAATATTTAAACAGTCAATATGTAGGACTGCATCCTTTTTCAACCACTTATATTTTCCTATTGCTTATTCTAACACAATGATGTAAATCATATAGTAACTGCAAATGAAACCAAGAAATAAAACAATTTTGCCATTTTACCACATGGACATTCTTAAACCAATCAAGATATCTTTTAAAACACATCAAATCTATTTCATTCTTTGCCATTACAACGAAAGAAAAATACTAGATGCACAGTT